GTCACTATGTCAACATTTTTAAAGGGAGATAAATTCATGGTGTACTTAATTGTTAGTTTACATATTTTTCTGCTATAAAATATTCACAGAATAAAATGGATTGTCATTTTTTCATAGGAGGTATTTTTGATCTAGCACAATAGTCTAGTGGCTAAATCCTCACCTTGCATGTGCCAGATCTCATATGGGTACTGATTCATGTCTTAGATGCTTTACTTCCCATCCAGCTCCCTGCTTGAGGCCTGGAAAAGCAGTAGAAGATGGCTCAAAACCTTGGGGCCCTGCACTGGTGTAAAGACCTAGAAGAAATTCTGACTCCTGACTTTGAATCAGTTCAGGCCTGGCTATTGTTGAGACTCAGGGAGTAAACCAGGAGATGAAAAATCTTTCTGTCTTTCCTTCTCTCTAAGGATCTGGCTTTCAAACAAAAATGAATACATCTTTTTAGAAAAAAAAAATGGATTTATAACACATTTATTTTATTAATTCATTTTGTCCCCACATATAACAATAATTCACACCTAGTTGTTTCTTTGTTCTTTGTTTTAATGGCAAACATGAGGAATGACTTTAGTCTGTAAGCATTTAACCCTTTCTTGCTTAAGTAAGGGAGTTTTGGAGGAATACTTTTTTGTTGGTGTTTCTTGTTTCTATAATGGAAACATACTTCTGTTCCTAACATAAAGCACATTTCACTGATGCATAAACTTCTGAGTAGGCCAGAGTAACATTATTCATTGATTATATGTGTGAAGATATAAAAATATAAATGGAGAATAAATATACTTTTGTTTCTGTTTCTAGGTTTCACACCATAAAATTATACTGTCAGAAATGTCATTTGGCTATACTAAACCTCTCTAAACCTAGATAAGTTCTCTGTTGCATTATGTATATGTGAAACTGTATTCCTCATTAAAAGAATGTTGTGGGCCCGGCGCGGTGGCGCAAGTGGTTAAGTCCTCGTCTTGCACGCCCGGGATCCCATATGGGCGCCGGTTCTAATCCCGGCAGCCCCGCTTCCCTTCCAGCTCCCTGCCTGTGGCCTGGGAAAGCAGTCGAGGACGGCCCAAAGCTTTGGGAACCTGCACCTGCGTGGGAGACCTGGAGGAGGCTCCTGGCTTCGGATCGGCGTAGTATCGACCCGTTGAGATCACTTGGGGAGTGAATCATCGGACGGAAGATCTTCCTCTCTGTCTCTCCTCTCTGTATGTCTGCCTTTCCAATAAAAATAAATCTTTAAAAAAAAAAAAAAAGAATATTGTGAGAATATTCTGCCCTATACATATTATTTTTAAAACAACTGCCTCTAGTATTTCTGAAAGAGGACAAGCAATGTTAATTTCTTCCTATGCTAATGTCTCCTTTTATTTTTTGTCTCTTCCTATCGTCCACATATTTTCCACTCTATTTTTATTCTACTTTCCATATCAAAGCTATCACCTCTTCCTGGGCACCTGGGTTGCATCAAGTCCAGCTATGAGGTAACTTTATTTAATAAATCTGAAAACGGTTTAACAATTCATTGAGTACTCTAATGAAAATGTGTGGATTTTTAAAAGATGTTTCTTGGTATTAGTGTTATGATGCTAGTTGGTAAGTCATATCCTGCCACACTACTGTCTTGTATGAGCAGTGGTTCATGTTTAGAATGCCAAATCCAAGTCCTTGACAATGGCCTGGGCAAAGCATCGGAAATGACTCAAGAATTTGGATATCTACCATGCATAAGGGGTACCTGGATAAAACGCCTGGCTCAGTGGAAGCTATTGTAGCCATCTGGTGAATGAACCAGTGGAAAGACTATTCCCTTTCTCTGTCTCCTTCTCCTTCCCCCTTTCATTGTAAATTTAATCTTAAAATGAATAATTCTTTTAAAATTATTTTCATTTTCCACTAATAATTTCTTATTTTAAGTCCTGATAGATAACTCAAGACTTCAGTGTTCCAGGATTCTCTTACTTGGCCAATATAACCAATCTTTTTACCTTAAATTTAGCTGTGAATTATTTGTTCAAGAAAAATTATCATTAATGCGGTCTCCATGGTATAAGGTAGATAAAGAACTTCTGATGAACAGTGCTGTTCTAATCCAACCAGCTAAAAGTAGAGACTTGGAAAAACATTACTTAAGTTTCTTTCATATGTAACATCACTCACTCACTCTATTAACAAGTCAATGATTATGTAGCATATGGCAAATTATACATCAATTTAAAGCATGAAAACTTGGATGTCATATTGGAGATCTTCTTTAATCACATAATAACAGACAAAAGAGAGAGATAGATTTGGGAATAAAATATAATATAAACATAAAAACATTCTCATAAGCACTTTGAGTAGATTTAATTATTATCTTTTTGTAATGATACAAGAACCACAGCAAGAAAACCCTAAATCTTTAGTTAACAAAGAATGCACTGTTTGAAATCTTCTAATTTTCTCATAACTTTTTATGACAAATTCTCTGTTTTTTCACACAAAAGATGATTTTTATTAAAAATTTGACTGAGGGTTTTTCTGTGAATATTTTTCAAATGATGTGGTTATTTATTTGAAAGAGTTATCGAGGGAGACACAAAAAAGATAAATTCTGTATTTTGATCTTCTCTTAAATTGTTGTAGGCCAGGCCAAAACAAGTAGGCACTAGCATCATCTGTCTTCCACCATGGTGGCAAAGGTCCATTTACTTGGGCCTTCATTGTTTTTCCAAGTGCAATATCAGGGAAGTAATTCTGAAGTGGAGCATGAAGTGCTTAAAGTGGGACAACTAAGTGATGTCAGCTTTAATGGTTGTGGCTTTAACCTATTGACCCACGATATTTGCTTGCCCCTCCGATTTTAGCAGCTAGATGGATATGTCAAAGAAACTTTGTGAGACTGACCTACTGCATTTTGGTGTTATATCAAAGGATGTTATGTTTCTTTCCGATCTGTGACAACAGAACACAAAATATATTAACTCCATAAGTGAGATTAGTATCTTTGGAACTAACTACTTTTTTTCTTCTTTTTAAAAGATTTATTTTTATTTTTTTTTTTATTGGAAAGGCAGATATACAAAGAGGAGAGACAGAGAGGAAGATCTTCCATCCGATGATTCACTCCCTAAGTGAGCGCAACGGGCCCGCCGATGCTATGCCGATCCGAAGTCAGGAGCCTCTTCCAGGTCTCCCACGCGGGTGCAGGGTCCCAAAGCTTTGGGCCGTCCTCGACTGCTTTCCCAGGCCACAGGCAGGGAGCTGGAAGGGAAGCGGGGCTGCTGGGATAGAACCGCTGTCCATATGGGATCCCAGGCGTGCAAGGTGAGGACCCACTTGCGCCACCGCGCCGGGCCCGGAATTAACTACTTTCAACTGTAGATGTCTATACTTAAGAGTAGTGGTATAATTTCTATTTTTGTTTTAGTTTGTTGCAATTTGTGCTGTTTTAGTTTTTTCTCTTTCCTCTACTTTCCATAGCATGAATGTTTTATATGCATTGCAAAGCTAAGCTTTTACTGTGAAGCAAATGTATATACTTATTGTGCTAATGTGGGAAAAATAGAGAGATTTTGAAGATAGGTTATGACACAAGAAGAAATTTCCTTTTACATAATATAGTTTATTCTTCCATGTGTATAATAGTATTTGGTGCATATATACACTAATATTGAGTGGATATATGTTTATAATTATTATGTTCTCTTATTAATTGGACACCTTATTAATCTAGACTCTTTCTTTATCTTATTACCATTTTAATTTAATCTATTTGAAATTAGTATAGCTAAGCCTGATTAATTTTGGCTTCCATTTGCTGGGTGTATCTTTTTCCAATCTGTCACTTTTTATTTATTTTAAATTTTTTTAATGTTTGGGCCTGGTGTCATGGCCTAGCGGCTAAAGTCCTCGCCCTGAACATAACGGGATCCCATATGGGTGTCGGTTCTGGTCCCGACAGCCCTACTTCCCATCCAGCTCCCTGTCTGTGGCCTGGGAAAGCAGTTAAGGATGGCCTGATGCTTTGGGATCCTGCACTCGTGTGAGAGACCTAGAAGAATTTCCTGGCTCCTGGCTTCAGATCAGCACAGCACCAGCCCTTGCACTCACTTGGGGAGTAAATCATGAGATGGAAGATCTTTCTCTCTATATCTTCTCTCTGTATATCTGACTTTGTAATAAAAATAAATAAATCTTTAAAAAATGAATAAATTTATTTTTATTTTTAAAGATTTATTTATTTTTATCGGAAAGAGGAGAGACAGAGAGGACGCTGTTCTGTCTACTGATTCACTCTCCAAGCAACAACTGGAGCTGATCTGAAGCCAGGAGCCAGGAAACTCTTCTGGGTCTCCCGTGTGGGTACAGGGTTTCAAGGCTTTGGCCCATGCTCAACTGCTTTCCCAGACCACAGGCAGGGAGCTGGATGGGAAGCATAGCTGCCAGTACTAGAACCAGTACCTATAGGGGATCCTGGCACATGGAAGGTAAGGAACTTAGCTTCTATGCTACTGTGCCAGGTTCCACTTTTTATTTTGAATGTATCTTTTATGAAGTCAGTATATGGTGGATTTTTGTTGTTGTTATTCTGTTGAAAATATTAGGTTCCCTGTCCTGCTATTAGGATAACTATTCAACTGAATAAGTTTTCTGTGAACTCTCAGATGTATTTATTTGAATATTAGAGTTACAGACAAAAAGAGAGAGAGAGAAATCATACATCTAATGTTTGATTCTTCAGATGACTAAAAGAGAAGGCTAAAGCTAGGGGTATGATCTGCATCTCCCATATGGGTGGGAGAAGCTGAAGTACCTGAATTTCCTTTTGTTACTGTGTGCTAAGGAGTTGATTAGCACTTGTTAAGCTGAGCACCTACAGGAAATGGGCTTGTGGCTGAAAGCACCTGGTCTAATTAGACTCAGCTGTACCCAATATGCACTAATGAGGGTGTGGGGGAAAGAATAAAGAAGAAGTTGGTGAACCGGCAATTGGAGTGCCTTCGGAGGCTAATTACTCTGAGGTCATCCCCTCCCACTTGAATCTCCCGCATGGGATAGATGAAGTCCAAATCCCTCATCGCAGAGCCCGATGTCACCAGAACAACAGCCAGGAGCCCTGAGCGGTCTACAGAAACAGAAGAACCATAAGCTTCCTCCAAGACCAGGGAGAAGAGCTTTCTCTGGTCCTTGTTTAGTTCCAGTGCTGGATCCCCACCCTCTCTTGCAGTGACCATCAGGGCTGCCCTGGAGCCCCACAAAACAAAACAAACACCACCACCAACAACAAAACATTAATTAAAATGGAGAACAAGGAAAGCTTAGAATTAGACAGAAATCTATCAGTAGGGATTCACACATACCTTATTTGGTAGGACATGAAAATATACAACCCCTAACTAGGGTATGGAGGATTCCTCTGCACACCCCTCCCAACAGTGTTCTATGCCTCAACGGGTGTCACATGTCTTGCTAAAGGTATAAGCCAGTATAGACTATCCTAAAATCTGCCAAGTTCAGTAAAATTATGCTTCAACACAATAAACTGGTAAAAAATGAAAATAGACATGAGATAGCTGAATGGTATCTTATAGCCAATTTAAGGTAGATAGAAGCCAGTTGTATACAAGCTACAATTGAAATGTTAATAAAGTAGTCTCAGGTTGCAGTTAAGAACTCACATTCTCTAACATATCAGTCAATACAATGTTAATTAACCCCATTATGTTGGAAACTGTTGTTGATGTTATGTTATGGGATTTGATTAGTTGGAATGATAATCTGCCAGCTGTGTCTCCAGACCAGAGTTGGTCTCCCCAAGAACCTGTTGAATTCAGCTGGGCAATAAGATACTGGACACTATGCAAGGCACATGCTTGCATTGAAAGAAATATGACTGGATTTGAACTGTAACACTGAAATAAGGTGGAGCAATCCACCATAGTGGGAGGGAGAGGGGAGAAGAAGGGGGAACATCAGAGCCTATGAAACGTTATAAAATGAAATGCAATTTAAAAAAGTAAAAAAAAAAAAAAGTAGGTGAAAGTCATGAGAGGAGGCAATAAAAGGAGGCTTCAGAGAGAGCTGAGGGAGAAACTTCCACCATCACTGGTTTCCTGTTGGTGCTTCATCCCTGCTGGCTGGAGCATTTTGTTACTTTTCTCAAAGACCTTAGTAGGAAGCTGGCTCATGTACTGGAGGTGGAGCAGCCAGTACATGAATTGGTGTCCATATAAAATGGTAACAACAGATGCGGTCAGTTGCTTTACACAACAGACCACAAAACCATTCCCCCTGTCAACCTTTCACAATCTTTTGACTTTTCCTCTTAGAAAAAAAAAGTGGAATAGAGTTTGTCCTTGGGGCTTGAATATACATACTTCCCAGTATTGTGGCAGCTGCTGGGAGCACTGAGTCACAGTAGCAAATGGTGGGTGACTCTCGGGCTTGCCTGGGTCCAAGAATGTTCTCCTTTCACAGCAAATACACTACAAGGGGATCTTCACAGCCCAGATTCCTGGCCCCACCCACTTCCACCATCTTGAGGTGGTCATATGAGTTTGTCCTTGGGGTTTGGATGGATAGACTTCCTGGCAGCATGGGGGACTCTGAGCCAGATCAGACTCAATACTTGGAGCCCTAGCCTCTAACCCCAGCCACCCTTGCCAAGCGGTGGATAAATACATTGCCACCCAGCAGTGAGCTCTGGGTTCTTGAGGAAATGGAATTACAGCCTAGTGATATCCATGGATAAAGCTACCGTACATGTAGTTCAGGAGTGAATCCTGCAGGACTTCCAACAGCAGGTCCACTGAACTTGCAGGTAAGCAAGGGGACTGAGAACTTGGAGTAGGCTTGGTTTAGAGGGCAGAGACCAGAAAATCTGTATAGGTCAGACCAGTGCACCAGACCACATGGGAATCCTGACTAGGGCTTGTTAGCATGGAACAGTGCTGTCAATCATACACCAGTCCACAATGAAAGTCATAGCTGGTGAACTGTCTTTCTGTCAGCATGCTGATGGGTCAGATTAGGCAGGGTCATGTCACTAAACATAAGAGAACATGAGAGAACCAGGTATGGGGGTAGATTATGTAGAAGGTATGTGGACCCAACCCTGAGGAAAATACAAGTCCTACTTGGCTCAAAAGTTGGAGTGATGATGGGCTGAGCTAGATGTGACCAGGGAACTGACCAACACTCAGGCCAGACTGAGAATTGGCTGGGCAGGTCCAGGTAGCTACCCCTGCACATATATCATAAAATAGGCTATGGGGCAGGCCAGTATGTAAGATACATCAGCTCATTCAAACGCCAAGAAGGAGTGGCAGGCTATTCTGGGCAAGGGCCTAGTACCCAGTAACATACGTGAGATCTGGTCTGGCACTGGGCCTAGTGGGGGATCCTGGGAAAATCCCTTATTGGGTCATAAGACCCACTGCTGAGCACATGGTCCAGGCCTTGTGGTCCAGCAAGCTGGGCAAGGTAGTCCCAACTGATGACAAATGTGTGGATTGATTTTAAAAGAGGGTGGATCGGTCAGGACCAAGCAAACCTTAGCTCACTGGCAAGTGCAGAAACCATGTGGCAACACAGGTCATGCCATGCTAGGCTAACACACATACCAGTTTACATGAGCCAGGGATGGGAATATACTGAGCAGGGCCAGGTTGCAACACTACTAACAAGAGTTGGGACTATGGACAGGCCAGATAAGGCCAATCTACATCATCCAAAGGCAAAGGCCAAGACAGTTGAGAGACTATGCCAAACTGGGTCAGAGAAACCACTGAAATGTATGAGAACTGAGACTGGGGAATAGGCCAGCTTGGGGAGTAGATGAGACACCCTGCCTGGGTTTTGGTTCCCACTGGTGAGTATGAGGGTCAAAGTGGTGCTGTGATCTAGTCTGGACATGGCTGCTACATCCCTTGGCAGGGATGTAGACTGTGTCTGGATACACCAGACTGGGCTAGACTCCATCACTCACAGGTGCTCATGAGAATCAGGTTGGGTGTAGAACAAGCTGGTGTGGGGAAACGTGCAGTTGGGTCAGATGGCATGGGAGTGTGATGAACACCGCTCCTCAGTTAGCAAGGCTGCGAGGAGTTTGTGAGGCATTCTGGCTGCATGGCAAGGCCCGGCAGAATGTCTCTGGTCACCTCATTGCTGCCTCACCCATTGTATGGAACTCAATCACCTCTCTGATGTTTCATAGAATCCTTCTGAGGGTGTTGCTGTTGCTTTTCTGCTAATGTGAAGTGATTCCTGTAACTGGTATGACACCTCAAATTGATCTATCATGTTATGATAAAAACACCTGTAGTAACGTAAGGCTATGACACGCAGTTAAAAGTGTACAATAATACAATTGAACCCACTATGTTTCCAAACTTCCTGTTATGTGCCCACTTTTGTCCTAAAGTTTGCCCTAGTGTAAGTAATGCTTTCCTTAAGAAATGGCTTGATAATATCTTGCATCAGATGGCAATCGTGGAGGTACAAAGAGTTTGCTTACCATGCACCTCCAACTGTTACAACACATGATATGATGCATATATTTTTTTTTACCACGGAAAGCAAAAGTATATGAGGCATCTTTTATAAGGAAATAGATGTGAACCCCCTCAAAATGGCTTAAAATCTCAATCTTACATTGGCACTTATATTTAGGGAAAGAAAATAGTTTATATAGATGAAAGGAAGTTTCTTGTAAAGACCCTTTGTTTGTAGATTGGCTGAGCTGCCTTGATCCCTTTCACTGCCCTTTAACAAAAGAATGAAAAACAATTGAATCAGCACTAGGTGAAGGTGACCGTAATTAATGCATGATTTGATTATAACGTTTAGCAAAGAATCTATGTTATATGCTTTTATAAAATCCTTTCACTTGTGATCTTTTAATTCTGTACTCTTAATATTTTAGCAATATTAGTTTGATTGTGTTTAGTAAAAATTGATTTTGAGTATAAGTAAACTGCTTGTCACTATGTAACCACATGCGCTGCCAACCGTGGAGTTCCTGGCTTCAGCCAGGTGACTGCAGGTTTCAATGAGTAATGGTTTGTTGAAAATATTTTCCTTAGGATTGTTTTTTGTATTCTCTTAACCATGAAGTGAAAATGAAACAACTGGATGTTGTGCAAAAGCTTGTGATGATTTGTGTATAAATAAAGAAGGCAACTTTTCTGAGTTGTCCATTATGAGCATCAAGTCATAGTGGTCCGTGTCTCATCTCTTCCTATCATCTCGCCGATCCACGCATCCTTTGCAAGCTCTCAGTCAGCTGGAGACCAAGCTGGGATAGGTCTCTGCTTCTACTAAGCTATGCATGAGGTGTGCCTGGGAGTGGAGTAGGCTTGGCTGTATCCAAAACTAAAAACCAAAATGGGTGAAGGTCAGTCAGAAAAGGCCACTGTTCCTCCTAGGACAGCAGGTGGATTAAGTAGTGCAGGCCCATAGACCACCAGTGGGTATGTGAGATCTGGCACTGGGAGAGGTTCTGATGGAGGAGCTAGGAGAATTCTTCTGTCAGAACACAGTCCCTGCAGGTGAGTGTAAGAACAATAGGGATCAGCCCAGACCAGGGCAGGGTGCAGTAGCCATTGGTTTGTATGTGAGTTGACTCTGGGGGCAAGCCAATTGGAGCTAGGCTCCAGCACCACTGGTGCTCATAAGAGCAGAATTGGTGTGGGATCTCAGTCAAGAACAATATCCTATCAACATGTAACCTGTGGATCACCAGGGATAATCCTATTAAGAAAACATATTCTTGGTATATCTTGATAACTTGCATTTATAACAAGAGTGATAACAATGATTATTTGATGGACCTGCTTTGAGCAGCAAGGATGTTAACTGAATGTGCAAAAGGAAATCAGAGACTTTTTTGCCAAATATGTCCTGCAGGGTGTCTAATAAATAGAAGCATGGCTGTGATGCAACCAGGATGGATACTTCCTCCCCAGTTCTGAATGATCTAAAACCTTGGAGGTACCAATCCAGACCTGGTCTTTTCAGGATTTACTCTGATGGTCATCATGGCCTGTTCAGCCAAACGAATTCTGTTAGTTGGTAAATT